CTGGTCCCAGAGATGACCCCCCCATGGCGTAGCAGATGTCTCCTGTCTCACTTGTTGCTCCCCTCAGCAGTATAGTTCGTCAATCTGCCTGTTCAGCTCCCTATTCTGGTAAACCCTCTCACTGTCTCTGCACCTCTGGCCTGTACCCCAGGTCTGTGTACATAATTAAATAAATCTTTAAAAATAAATAAATAAATAAATAAAAGAAATCCTAGGTAAGAACCCACTTCAGCAGGCCCACCAGAAGCTGTGAGGGCCTGAGTTAGAAGAGACATGCAAAAGCAAGATTTAGGGAGCCACAGAGCCATAGTTTCCCATCTGGGAAGAATTGATAATGTTAATAAGGAAGTACAGGAAAAAGCTGCAAGGTTTCTAGCATGTATAAAGTGGAAGGGCGATACCAATCATCTATCTGAGACAAACTCTAGGCTCACCAAAAGAGAAATGAAGATACCATTTTCTTCATGAAAAGATTTGTGAGCAGTTCTTTAAATCAACACTTATTTAAACTGGATTTCTACACATCCATTAAATTATAATGAGAATAGTGACAGCAGTGTATTGTAATGCCAGTATCCACACGAATTACCAAAATGCACAGAAGATTTCTGCATTCTATATTCAAATACATCTGCCATGCTAACACTGGCATTCAAAAAAATCAGGGTGGGGGAGATAAAAATCCTTCACAAAACTCTACCTATTCTGTTTAAAAAAAAAAAAAAAAGCTCTCATCAGATATACAGTTGATTGACTCAAAAATGATGTTAAAAAAGACCACTCAGTTTCACTAATTTCTGATAAAAATCCCAATTCATATGGAATATGGCATTGTGCAGAAAGGGGCAGCGTTCTATCGCAGGGTCTGCTGCCTGCCAACGGGGAAAACCACCCAGCGTCACCCAGGCCTACCTTAAACCCAGTCGGGCACCAGTCCACAAACTGGATGGTGCGCTTGGTCTTGATGGTGGCAATGGCCGCATTGACGTCTTTGGGGACCACGTCCCCCCTGTACAGCATGCAGCAGGCCATGTACTTGCCGTGGCGAGGGTCACACTTGACCATCTGGTTGGCCGGCTCGAAGCAGGCATTGGTGATCTCAGCCACAGACAGCTGCTCGTGGTAGGCCTTCTCCGCTGAGATGACCGGGGCATAGGTGGCCAGGGGAAAGTGGATGCGGGGGTACGGGACCAGGTTGGTCTGGAATTCCGTCAGGTCCACGTTCAAGGCCCCGTCAAAGCGTAGGGAAGCCGTGATGGAGGACACGATCTGCCCGATCAGACGATTGAGGTTGGTGTAGGTGGGCCGCTCGATGTCCAGGTTGCGCCGACATATGTCGTAGATGGCTTCGTTGTCTACCATGAAGGCACAGTCGGAATGTTCCAGGGTCGTGTGGGTGGTCAGGATGGAGTTGTAGGGCTCCACCACGGCCGTGGACACCTGGGGCGCCGGGTAAATGGCAAATTCCAGCTTGGACTTCTTGCCGTAGTCTACCGACAGCCGCTCCATGAGCAGAGACGCAAACCCGGAGCCGGTGCCGCCCCCGAAGCTGTGGAAGATGAGGAAGCCCTGCAGCCCCGTGCACAGGTCCGCCTGAGAGCAAACGAAATGAGAGGCCAGGGTCAACAGCTGCAGCAGCCACACCGCTGCCCTCCAACAGGGTCACCCCCAAGTGTTCCTTTCCGCGTGTCTGTGGACTCAAATCATCCACAGTGCCACGCAGCACGCTCAGACGCAAAGCCGAGCAGACGCTAAACAAGTAGACATGCTGCGGTCACACTGCAAAGTCAGGTTGTGTTTGGCCAAAGTGACCTGTCAGTCCTAAAGCCTTCCCGGTGTTCTCACCAGTTTGCGGATTCGGTCCAGGACCAGGTCGACAATCTCCTTGCCGATGGTGTAATGGCCTCTGGCATAATTATTGGCTGCGTCTTCCTTGCCGGTGATCAGCTGCTCCGGGTGGAAGAGCTGCCTGTAGGTCCCTGTGCGCACTTCATCTGAGGAGAGGACACATGTGCTGCCGATCTCTGAGGCCCAC